ACATGCAGTACGTTTAGGGAGCTAATTCCTGTCGTTGATGTTTCATAGACGAGTGTTTCCCAACCTTTTGGAGCCACGGCACACCACCAAACAAAAATGTCACAAAAAGCATGCTGATCATTTTTCCTGCGCACCAGGTATAGCGGTATATTGTCTCCAATATACTTCTTTTGCATTCTTCTGACCACTAATCAGGCTAGGGCCTTCATCTGAGTCAGAGTTTTCTCCAGGACCAGGTCAGACTGGATACTTTTATTTTGAAATATGTATCTATTGCTGCTATGCGCTGCGTTGTCTCACTCGCAGCTTGACTATTATGTCATTTCTTCTTCGTTTTCTTCTGTTTTACTGGCAGTTGGCAACCCATTTAATTAGACCAGGTAGTTGTACTGCCCTCTAGTGGAAGAGAATGTAACTGCTCTGCCTGTTACGCCGGTCGTTTAGAGCAGCGGTCTTCAACCTTTTTTGCGCCACGGACCGGTTTATGCCCGGCAATATTTTCACGGACCGGCCTTTAAGGTGTCGCGGATAAATACAACAAAATAAACTAGTACCGGTACCGAAAAAAAGAAGATTTATTCATAACACACCTGAAAAGACCCAGGAAAACAGAGTAAATTATCAAAACGATAACAAAATAACACTGAAAACCGATAAAAACCCAAAAAACTATACATTTCACACCTGAGCCTCAACTCTCGCGGCCCGGTACCAAACGATTCACGGACCGGTACCGGTCCGAGGCCCGGGGGTTTAGAGTACTAACCAGGTGGAACCAGATAATCTTCCACGACACACCTATGTGCCGTGGCACAGTGGTTGGGAAACACTGTCATAGACTACTATTAAATACTTAACAACATATCATTAATAATAATGATGATGTTTATTTGTGCTGCACATATCAAAACCAGCATTATAAGAAACGCAGAATAAAGAACAAAGGACTGTCTGACCTTCTTTAAATGTTTCTCAAAGGTCAGACTAAACCCGGCTTCTAACCGGTGATTTCATGAATGGATAAAGGGCTCTGGGATAGACTGAATACCTGGAGCTTCCCTGAACCAGTGATGAGAATTTCTGTTTTATTTGAGTTTAAAAATTGAAAAAGAGCAGGTCTGTAATTGAAGAATCCACTTGTACAGTTAAATTTACAAGTATGTTGTTGTTTCTTTTACTTTATAGAAATATAAGACATAGAAAATACGAGTTTTGAGAAATGCTTATGGAGTAACTCGGTAAACTAAATTGCTAGAACTATAGCAGCAGGAGGTCTTTCAGCCTTTAAGTTACATTGACTGAAACCATGAACAGGATAACAGATGAGCATAGACACTGTGCCGTTTGAAACTCACTGGTTTCGAATCATCATCAGCTGTGTTTTGGCTGTCATCGTGTAGTTATTTTACATATTTGGGTAAGAGATCCTAGGCAGTTAGATCAGACTTCAGAAAAACATACAAGCCTGTTTGTTTGTTGTTTGTTTGTTTGTTGTTGTTTTTTGTCTGAACCAAGTAGCAAGTCATAATATTAATCATATAATTCCTAAAGGCACCAACAGTTAAAAACGTCGGAGAGGCGTAGAGCTGCCTGTGTTGGGAGTAGGGCTGCCACAAACGATTTATTTTGATAGTAGACAAGTCACCGATTATTTTTGCGATTAGTCGACTAATCAGATCATCATCCATTGGATGTAAAACGTACAGCTTATTGCACCAGCAGCATCTGCTCTTATATAACTATCATTAGCTTACAGCTT